AAAAATTTAGGCTTACATGTGATTCCATTTCACAAAGCACTACTAAACAGCTCTACGTCTTTGGATTCGCGAAATGTGGAATATTATTTGTGTAGTCCTAATTTAAACATCAGCTGTTACCGAAACCGAAACTTCGGTTGCGTCAGGCAACACTGGTCTCGTGTGGTCAGAGTCATGGCCGCTTCACGTCGAACCACATGGTCTTGTGACGTTCGGGAGGGGGCGAGGGACAGGACACGCAACGTGGGCAGGTCGCTTCACGTGGCGTGGAGGTGATGGCCCGGGGGAGAGGGGTAAGGGGAGAAGATGAAAGAGAAGGGGAGCGGAGAAACAGCCCAATAAGCGCACAGGGCAGCGCAAACTAGCACATCCGTGTTACGGTGATCACGTGGACAACCGGTCAGCCAACACCGAGAGGAGAAACGCATGACGTCATCGTTCAGTTTCGCTCTGAGAAATAAAAACAAACAAAACGTGAGAATGACGTAGTCATGCCTCTGACTTAGTGGTTCAACGTTGGCCGCTCCATCTCCGTCGCATTGACTGCGCTGACGATTGCGCCTCACGTCGCACGCTAGAGTTGGCAGATTTCGGCGACTTGGCTCATTTCAAAGTTTGCTGGCCAGTCTATTAAATATATAGACAGAACTAGATCGTAATATTTGACATGGGGTCTTCCTACATGATACTGAAGAGGGCTACATAGTTTTCTAAATATCAAAAATGAAGCGGATTTGCCCTTTAAATAGGCCAAGGCAAGAATCTTAACTTATAATATTCGCAGTGGTATGAATAAAAATTATGTGTGTGCATGTGCTTCAAAAGTACTTTTTGCAGCTCCAAAATGGAGGTACTGCTGCTCCAAAGGTCCTCCAAAATGACTGGGGGCAATCACATCACTTGATCGGACATAATTTGTCGTCTATTCAAGGCTTCAGAAGGAGTCTTCATAGTTAAGAAACCTGGTGACATGCTCTTTGCCGCTGTGTTCCGCCGCATTGTTGAAAATTTAAATTCTGTCATCACTCGTCCTTGACCTCGTGCGACATTGAAATACTAAAAATTGATTGAGCAGAATTCTCATATTTTTTAAAAATTTCTTTTTGACATGAAACCTACGTCTCATCCTCCTATTTTTTTGTTGGTGAGCAGGTCCGCATTGTTACCATTTTAGTTTCATAAAAATCGGGAGTATTGCAAAGAATGTTTCGGGATGTTTGCATCCCAGTCTACACTCTCATAGTGGCCAGGTCAGAGGTATTGCTTTGAACAATCCAAGCATCAATACCTGATATGACGATACTCATTCTTGCGTATTGTTCTTGAGCATGAGAAAGAGAGCAATGCACGTCTGTTGCACTTAAGATCACCAATGAGGCGTCCAGCACGAGTATAGAGACTTTTCAATTCAAGCAAGACTCGATATGTTGCCAACGCAGCATAGAAGCCCTCACTTTTACATATCTTGCTTGACCTTGGGATCACAGTTGACAATTCTCTCTGCATCTTATTGACATCATGGGGTAGCAAATCACGTCAATCCCTCTCTCAAGATTTATTTACCAGGAAGTATGAAGAAGGTTTCTTTTTATCGTCTAGATGCAACGTCAGCTGCCGAAGAGGGGTCCCCAGCCAAGAAGGACAGCACGGAGAGAAGCGAAGCGTTGAAAAGCCCCGCAGAGCTTCGGGAACAAGCGTCAGTCGCGGAGTAATTGGCCGGCCGGACCCCATTCTTTTTGATCCAAGTTGCGCCGCCGCGGGAGGTGTCGACTACGAATTGTGTACAGTCGAAGAATGTGAATATTGAGTTCCTTAGCGAGGACAACAGATGCAAGGAGGGACCTCTGGATGTGAGTAGTCATTCTCAATGGAAAGGGAAAGGCTTTCAATAAACTTGATTTCTCCCAGAAAAGTAGCGAAGGAAAAGGTCTGTATTATGTTTGCTTTGCGTCGGGCTCACCACGCAACAATAAAACACAATCACTCTCTGTCCTTTTCTTTTTTTAGCTACATTTGAGTTTAAAGGCTTATATGTGATTGCTTAACTTTCACCAGCCAATTGCGTTTCATTTTAGCTTTTACAGGACGAGAACAATTCCTTTCTTTCGGATGGATGGATATTAAAGACTGTGCCCTCTATAACAGATGGTAGCTCTTTATAAAAGGTAAACTGCATGACACTGCTGGTGCAAGCACATCGGCCCCTTTTGCATTTTACAAAGACTCCACAAGCACTAAACTTTACCACTCGGTTACTGCCTTGCATAAGCACTTTCCATCATACTAATAGTTTAGTTTATGGAGGTGGTTCAATTTTAAAAGAAAAACTGGTGATCACATGCTTGTGCTAACAATGGTTTTGTTTGATTTACCTGCACCGGTGCAGAAGTGCAGGGCAGTGTACTTCCGCTATGTTTATTGAGATACAACCAAGAGTATGCTGCCCTACATAGGGTGACCCAAGTCACCAGGCTCCATCTAAAATGGACCGTAAAAATTGACGCCTGCATGTAGCAATCTAAACTTTTCGTCAAAGGTGAATTTCACAGGTTGGTTTTTTCTTGTAAAATTACAAAGCATATATCTCTTTTAGTAAACAATAGGGCCAAGAAACTTGCCAGTGTCTACGGCGGGCGGCGACCCAGACGACAGGGTCCAGTAGCGGGGTGTGTTTCGCGTTCGTATTGATAGATGGTGCTACCTCCTTATCGCGACTGCTCGTGACCGCCGTGGTTTATTAAAATCAACATAGTCTTTTTGAAATGTACCTTTGGTTAAAAAATAAATACGGACAATAAAAGCAAAACTGTAAAAAAAAGTGTCTGCATAACGACGGCGCTTTTGCTGTTAACGGATTTTGTCTGCGTGTCGTCTGCTTCCTTTCGCTGGTTGGCTGCACTTTCAGACGCTGCTCCCGACGCCGTCTATCAATACAAATGCCAAACACACCCCGCTACTGGACTTGGTCGTCTGCGTCGCCACCCGCCGTAGACCCTTGCAAGTTTCTTGGCGCTATTTTTTTACAGAAAGAGACCTATGCTTTGTAATTTTAAGAGAAAAAACTGACCTGTGAAATACGCCTTTGACACAAAGTTTAGATTGCTACATGCAGGCGTCGATTTTTACGGTCCATTTTAGACAGAGCCTAAATACTTGGGTCACCCTATACTTTTCTGCACAGCTGCTGGGGGTGCAGGTAAATCAAACGAAGGTAACTTCGAGCTGTGTGATTATAATGCAATTAAATGCAAAGGTGTATACGAGCTGGACAAGAATGACAATAATAATCCCTAGAGATGGGGAACGAAGGACAAACACAAGTTTCTAAACACAGCTAGGTGACTGGTGCGTGACCAAAAAATCAACCTGGTCCTGGTATCGAACCAGGGACCTCTCCTTTTCTAATGGAGCGTTCTACCAACTGAGCTAACCAGGCGGATTTTTTCAGTGGCGCACCAGTCGCCTAGTTGTGTTTAGGGATTTGTGCTTTTCCTTTGTTCCCCTTCTCCAGCTCCAGGGATTAATATTGTCATTCTTCAGCTTGCTTGCACCTTTGCATTTAATTGCGTTTTAATCATAACCATAAAATGCAAGCCATTCACCCTTGTTGGTGTTAGACTGGTGGCAGGTGATGAAACCCGTTTGCTCTGCTGACGTCAAACTCCAGCTGGGGCCCTAAACTCGTCAAACTCATAGTTGGAGCCGAAAGTTCGCGGAGCGCGCCGATATATGACGTCGGCGAAAAAAGCGCCAAGTCATCGTCGTGATAGCCCAATCGGTGCGCTGCGTCAACTTCGGCCCCAACTTTATGTTTGATGAGTTTAGAGGTCCTGGTTAGGAAAGTGTGTGTGTGTAGGGCACTGTAGTGAAGGTTGAGGGGAGGGGGGGGGGGGGCGGTTTGGGCCAATCGTACTGGAAATTGAGAGGTCCTGGTTCGATAGCGGGAACAGACGGATTTTTTCAGTCGCGCCCCAGTCACCTAGCTGTGTTTGGAGATTTGTTTTTGTCGTTTGTCCCCTTCTCCAGGAATTATTTTCACGTGATGTGCGCAGCTTTTTTTTTTTTTTTTAGGTGTATGTGATTTGGTGTGTATGGTGTTACTAATGTCAAAGGAAAATGTAAAATATTTCCATTTCCAACTCTTTTTGCCTCTCAGTGCCTAAACATAGCAGCTGCCTCCAGCCACTTTAATGGACGGGGCGACGCGCCGCGCCGTGAACCGGGCGTGTGAACCGGTCACCCGGCTAATGCCATGGCTAATTTGCGATATCTGTCTTCGCCGGCAAGGGGGCTCCCACGTACCTGCCGAGGGCGAAGAAGAAACGCGTGGGAATGTTAGGCATTCTTTTTTTTTTCTTTAACTAAGAGTTTACGTGGTCGTTTCGGAAACGGATGGGCAGCTAGGAAACAAACGCAACAACATCGAACGCGCGGAATGCAGAAAAGAAAAAAAGAGAGCGGCAGTAAACTGGGAAACCTTTTAAGATGTTTTATTTGCGCAGACAGGTCCCCTGAGTCCCCTCCCGGCGAGTGTCGGCGGTGGCGGCTTCCCGAGATGGGTGCGCGGAGATAGCTTATCCGCGCCTGCCGAGCAAGCTCGTTGGCGCGGATATTGCTTTTCCATCATGCCCCCTGGTTTACAGGTCCTAAAAGGGAGGGGGAGCCAGACTGTTTCAAAAACTCCATTCGCGTAGCCGCCCGCCCGTCACCGACCCACAACACCGCAAGGAAGGCGTCACCCGAGCCAGAAGCGCATTTCGCTAAGCCGGGGGCTGCCGCGGCAGATCTGATACAGCCGCCCCTGCTTTTTCTTGCTTTGTTAATCAGCCGACTGCTTAGTGAAGGAATGCATTCGGCAACCGCGTCCGTCGCCGCGTTTGGGGAGGGAGGATGGTGCAGCGGCGGCAAAGCTGGCTCCGCTGGCTGACCCCCCGTAACCTTGGAATTCTGCTGCCCCCTCGCCAAGCCCTCGCCCTGTTCCGAGGACCCCCTCTCTCGCCCTCCTCTGTCTCGGGCTGCTCTTCCATGGGAAAATGGCCGTCGCGCGCGGCGTGCAGCGTCATTCGAGATGAAGTCTCTGGTGGCGTGCGCGAGGCTCTTTGTTGTACGCGCTCTTCGCTGAACCTCACGTCGGCGCAACTCCCCGGCATAAGCGCGGATTGAGATCCTCATGTCATCACTAAAGGTGAGTAGGGGGAGAGCCGCCTCTGGACTGGGCGGCTAACCGCTGCGCGAAGTAAACAAAGCATGGGAACGTGCCGTTCCGCTTCGGTACAACGATCTTTTAATTTGTTCCGCGCCGCTTTGGGCGCATTTAACGCTGCTGGCGGGAGGCTCCCTCGCTCCACCCGCTGCGGCAGATGGGGGCGATTGACGGCCCTGGTCGAAATGGGGTTGCGAGAAGTTTTGACGCGCGGCTTGTATTTCATGCAAATTACAACTCGCGCATTCACATAAGCTAGAAAAAAAAAAAAAAAAAGTTTGTTTTATTGTGTTTAGGAGCTCTATTTTTCTTGGGGATTCTTTCTCCGTGTACAAAGAACTGTTAGATTAAAATGTCATGGAAAAGGTACTAAAAGCATTAAAAACGGGGGGGGGGGGGGGGGGGGGGGGGCGAGAGGGAGAGGAGGAGGAGGGGTTATTATTTTTTCTAGTTTATTTTTTGGGGGTTTCTGAACGTCAAAAACGTATTTGACGTTCCCAAAGTGTAAAATTTGTATGGATGAAATGTAAGATGCCCAGTGAGGTGATTAAGTTTAAACATTGTAAAAAGCACCCCCGAATGGGCTAACAGAAACACAGCTGAAGTTTTATTACGTAAAATACGCATTGACCACAAGGGGGGAGACCACCCCACTCCCAGGAAGATCTGCATCTCCCGAGAGTTCCTCGTTCTTATGCATTCTGAAGCTTTTTTTACAGATTTTTGGTTGTGCACGAAAACACCCATTTTACATACAAAACCTCGTGTCAGTATGCAAGCAAACTGGTTAGAAATTGCTATAGACCGACACACTGAAAAGAAGCCCGCGTTTGCCCACACCAGGTGTGGGCACAGCGCGAGCACAGAAACCAGATTTGCGTGAGGTGAAGTTTCTGTTCATGCGCTGTGGCGACAACAGCAGCACCGCAGAGGCGTGACGTCAGAGCCACATGTTGGTCTATAGCAAGGCGGCTGCAGCAGAGTGAGAACCCACGGTTATACCCCGTCTCGTAATTCGGCAAAGGCTGAACGATAAGCCCCACTCTGTGTGCCAACTGCATGCTTCCGCCGTACTGGCATGTTATGCGATCATGGCTTTCTGGCCTACCCAGTATTTTTTATTTCAGACTTTAGGCTAAGCGGCACCACCAGAGTAATAGCCCGCGTCTGAACAATACAGCCCTCACTTCCAAGCGTAGCAAACGTTTCTTGCCTCAATCGCTAGATAGCGCCAAACCAAATAGCATTTCACTCGTACGGTGGCTAGTAACTCTACCGATCTATATATGGGCCCTTTCATGCACATTTCCGGTTGCAAACCTTTTACTGGGGATAGTATTCTCAGCAACTTTAGAAACAATGTTTCTACTTGCATTGACCAGTAAATATACTTTATGTAAAAGTGACATGCACACTAGGCCACTTTCAAAAATTCCTCCATGCAACACTGCGCACGTTGCATGCTGGGGACCAGTTGGCCACGGAGCGGAGTGGCATGGCTTCGGTTTCGATCAGATAGCCGCTGTTTATACTCCCGTAGTTAAACACGTGGACTGCTAAGCCTCCATAACCTTTATTCACGTGCATGCAAACATGTTTGCACAACAGGGGCATCGGCAGGCACAGTGCAATCCATTAACCTACATTTTCCTACCTTTGCCCGAAATCCGGCTTATAGGAAACCACAAAAACAGTGCCAAGTGTTTTTTTTGGTATCTCTCGGCAATGCCGAGAGATACACTTATAGGAAGTCGGAGCAATGAAAACGCAAGCAGCGTGTTCCATCATGACACAATGATCGTTACAAAAACTGAAACCAAAACTACCGTAAAATACCGGGGGAGTGCTTACCCCACTTTCACTGAAAACTGGATTAATCTGGATATAGGTGCTTGTTTGGTCAAATCAGGCACTTAAGATATAATTTGCCGTATTCCCAAATTTGGGACACGTTAATGGTGGGCGCTTGAATGAAGTGGGCGCTCCGCGGTATTTTACAGTAAGTGGCCTACTGGTACGCAGAATTCATTTCGTGCCACCAGGGGTGCTTCGATTCGGGAAAAGATATATTTAGCCATAAATATTTAGATGGTTTAGTTCCCGTTGCTTTAAAATACTCTATGGCTTACCTCGGGAGCGGAATATTCTCTGCTGCATGCTGTTTGTAAAGAGAAGGGTCAATCACTCTTGATATAAAATTGCTTCTCCTAACTGCAGGAGCGTTTTAGCACCAGTTACACAGGCGATTGAAGCTCTGAGCAACAAAGTTGCATTGCCGGTTCATGGCATTCTTTTTTTGCTTTAGTGCAAACAAAAGAATTCTTACTGTAAAATACCGGGCAAGCACCCACTCAAACTTCGGAGATAATCGCAAAAAAAATGGGGGATGGGCGCTTGTTCGGTCATCAATTTTACGTATTAATGGATGTGCATATTTTCTCGGATCTTACAAATTTGGTAATGGGTGCTTATGTGGAATGGGTGGATGCGCGTTATTCTCAACTGGATATTTTTAGGAATGTGCACATTCGAGTTTCAAATTCGAGTCTAATAGTGATTGCCTGAGTAATTTAAATATATATAATATTATAATTTAAAAAAAAAAAAAAAAAAATCTACATATTTAATAAAGAAAAAAGCTTTTTTTTTTTAGAAATGTTTTTATGGTGGCATATACAGGGTGTTTCACGAAATGTGGACAAATTCGATATTGCAGAATTATGCGTCGCAACAAGAAAATGCTTGCATCGTTTTTTTCCTGGGCCAGGGGCCTATTTAGGAAAATTATTAAAGTCAGATAATTAGATTGTTAATTCATTTTGCATAATTAACTTTTCTAATATTGTGTTTAAAAGCTTGGTTTCATTTAGAAACTTGCTTAGCATCATCGAAAAACACTAAATCAATAAATTGCAGAACTTTTGAGAGCGGCATTTTACGGCTTTCTGAAAAACCGCACAACTTCGACAGGTTTTTAAGTTTCGGTTTGCAGTCGGAGTGCTTCTCAGCGCCTACGTCACTGCGACCCATGGAGAAATAAGGAAACCAGCCTCTGCTGTGTTGCGCAAGGACAGCACAGCAGAGGTTGGCTGCACTAATTCCAATTGGTGAGACCTATTGGCCAGCATGCCTCCATTTGGAACCCACTAAAACCAATTGGTTCCAATTAAAACCATTTAGAATTGTAATTGGATCTAATGGGATTTTTTAGCTGGGGTTTTATAACAAAATAGTTATTTTCAATCGAATGTAAAGACTCAAACGAGCTGGTGAATTTTGAGCATGACGGAAAGCCCGAGACTGCGGGTGAGATCGACGCATACACTAAAAGGACTCAATGTTTGTTTCTTCTATTCCTCAAACAAAGGAGTCTCACTCAATCTTATTCAATGCACTTAGCGAAAACCCGCAAACGTCCATGCATGTTCCCATTCCGAATCCAAGTATTCTGTGTCGCCTACCACACACTTTGCTTGGCACACATTTGTTGTGTCCATAATATCATAATTAATCATCAAAATATGAATGATAGCGACAATTGAATATGCGTCGTCCGCTAACCCATCGCTCCCCATGGCTTCGAGCAAGGCGCCGAGGCCAGGTTGCAAGACGTTGCAACGATTTAGCCAGTTCACCCACCCGTGCACCATGCTGTGGACGCTGCATGCTGCAGTGACATGTTCTTCAGCTGCGTGCCGGGCGCCGTTTTCATCCGTGCTAGCCGCTCTTTGTTCAGCGCACTTGGATGGATGGATGGATGGATGGATGAGGCTGAACCTTTTGAATGGGGTGGCAGTCTGTCGCTCCCTTTCTCTTTCGCGTCACTGCCCACACAGCAGCAACTTTTAAACCGCTGCCACTGCCGCTTCAGGGTTTTGGAAGGTTCTGCGGTATGTCTACAAAAAAGCTTTTAGCCAAATCCATACTTTAAGAGCATTTCAATAGAAAAAAGTATGTCTCGTACCGGTGTTATATGGGCGCTCTTAACCGCATTTAACTGTTTTAAACTGCTGCTACACGTCACCACAGTTACCGCATTATACTCTCGAATAGCCATTTCAGAAAAAGTGAAGAGTGCTTGTGCACTGCTTCGATGGGTGCTCAAAATGCGGCACGTGCTCCCATACTTTTAACTGCATAGCTGCAGAGTCTTGTCCACAAGTATTGCGTGGTAACTTAAGTGTGCCCATGTGACAAGTGTATCAGTGTCAATTTTTCATCAAGAGCGCATCTCATAAAAGTATTCCTCAAAAGTACAGATGTGAAGCACATCTCCCACAACTCTTCTACTGAAAGCAAAGCAAGTCGACCAAAAGAAGATTTTAAAGCGTAAAGCACATTGACTAAAAGCAAACCTTTTCAAACACATCTTTCAACAATGCAACATCTGTCGCTGTCAGTCACTGCGCACTTTGTCGAGGCAGTTTTTGTTTAGTTCCTCTGCAGTGCAAGTAGAAGCTTTTGGCATTTATAGTCAATTCGTCTGTTTGGCCACAATTAAATTCAAATTCGATTAGGGTTGAAACTTTGCTATTTGCACATTTCTAAAGACCTTTTCATGTCAGTAGTTTCCTGACCGTTGGGTAGAGGGCGCTGGCGCACTCGCCGCCATGAGGTTGCTTCAATTTGGTTGGTTTTGGTTTCAAAGTGCACGCGATTGTGATGCTATTTCATGCCATTTTCGCTTCTTTTATGATGCAAATTTTTTTCTTGTAGCACACAGCGAATTAAACAATGTTACTGAGCCACTTGGAGAACCAGGGAAGTGGTTTTGAGCCTAAATTGCGAGCACATTCACGACACCAAATGCGTCTGATTACATCAATCAGTCATTTCAACCATGTTCGGCGGTGAAACAACCGCGCTGATGCACAGGGAGGATTACCATCATCCACGGCCGTATCCGCGGCCACTAGTTTCCAGAAAAATAAATAAATAAGGAGCAGGAAAAGCTCCGTCTCCAGCCACTCCTCGTTGCCGCTCCTCGTTGCTTGCCGCCATGCTTTGGCTGCACGTGCACCGTGTGGTACGGCAGGTAGATAGCTTGCGCTCAAGTCAGAGATTATACTGCTCATCTTATGTTGTAACAAACTATAATGCATGAGTGCTTAGTGAAGATGGAGGTTGACAACATTATTAACAATGTGCTCAATCATTAAGAACAGATGAACCGACAAGGTTATTGCTCGATGTTTGGTTTTGTACACCAAGTTTTTATTAACTTCGCACTGGAAAGGTATCGTATAATGACGTTGAGAATATTTAAAAAAAAGTGATATTGTTTTGGCCTGTTTTATTTAAAAAAATTAAGTTAGAGAGATATTTTTATAAACCAACCTAGGCCGACTAGAAAATATTTTTAACTGAAGTACTCATTAACAGCATTTCACAATATTGGCCTTATGAAATAGACAATTTGTTGTATGGACATTGCTTACGACGTTCACAAGGTATAAGATAAGTGACATGCCTTTCAAAGGTAGTCTGAACTTCATCTTCCGTAAAATTTCCCCAATAAAATTAAAGGGCGCAAAAGAAGTGATATATAGAAAGCTTGGCTGAAGTCGAGCACAAGGCGCCAGGCCATGCATGGACCTATGTCATTACTGATTTGAACCGATGCGCTTTGTAGATTTCGGCGCCGCCAGCTACTGAAAGTAAAGTCCTATTCGCCGTCGACAACATTGCACTCGGGCAACTGTACCCTAGGCACTCTCAAGCTGCCTGTGACAGTTTCTTACGCGGGGAGTCGCAATATTTGGTTGGAATTAAGAAATTGAAATGAACTGCGTCGTTATCTTAAGAAAATCATTCAGGCAATTAAAAGGCATGGGGCCGAGCACGGTATACAGTGTCTTGAAATTCAGATATAAACCGATCAAGCGAATGTTTATGTTGCAAAGATGATTAAAAACGTCATACAGATGTAGGTGATATTGTAAGCAAATTATCCGACATTGACGTACCAATATTTCTGGCCTAAAAAAATACAAATTAAATGTTTGTACCCTTATCTTGTCCACAAGTTCCCCCATATACAGTAATCAAAAGCAGCTGTTCTCAATATGTTATAAATACAACACACCATGCTTTCAGGAAACACGTGGCTATTTTTGCCGAGTAATTTTGTCACCTTCATTGAGATCCTAAATGCGTGATCACGTATACATACTTACCATGTCATTCCTATTGCGAATGTTCCGCTACTATTCGTAAGCACACCTGAGTTCTCATAGGTTGCTGGTTTTTGAACCCTCGTGCTATTTTAGAGTCATACATGTGCTCAATGTGCGTGAGCGCTAACGCTTAGCACGTATCCAGCACGCTGACGGTATAAATAGTCAAAAAGTGTTACAAAAATAACTGCAGAAGTTGCGCACATAATGATGTATTGCAAATACGTGATAAGTATAAGTATCGGACAACACTTTCCGGAGTAAGGTAAGAAATGCGGTGAAAATGGGACGAAAAATGAATTTAACGCATCCGCCAAGGCGCTGAGTAGCGCAGAGAGGAGAGCGGAGCAACAAGTTGAAGCAACCTAATGGCGGCCGCACCACGTGATTCCAAGATGGCAGCGCCCATGTGGTGGAGGGTGAAAAGGTCTATAGTTGGTGACAGGTAAAAAGGTCGGGGCAAGATCCTTGCATTCCTTTCTACTTTAGCACAGAGAATTCTGGAGAGGATGCTACCTCATTTCAGCATTCATTCTGTTAAAGGGGAAAGGAGGGAAGGAGCTTGCCCTGAATGGACCTTTTTCCAGTAAGCGTCTGCGCACGCGCACACCCTTTCCCCTTGACCTTGACCGCCCTTTCGCCATTTTTGGGGGGCACTGTTTTCTTGCAACACTAATCTGTTCCTATGGGAGAAGGCGAGTCCGGTTGCCCTCCATTTGTAGTAGGCGGCGAAACCGTCATGGGGCACTCCTTACTGGAAAAAGGTCCATTCTTAGCCTATCACTGACTACATATATTTTCAAATTATTGTTTTCCACATCCTCGGGAGATTGGGGAAAGGGGCCACTAACTTGTCTGTATAAAAGCCCCTTGACATGTACCGGACTCCTGTAACTTTTCCTTTTTAGTAGAAAGGTAGCATCTCCATGTACCTCTGGTGCTGTCAGCATTGTCTTGTTGGCAAGAGGAAAAGGCCATTGTTATTGTGTCTAATGCCGGCACCTCTCAACAAAGGGAGCTTCATTTGTCTTTGGGAAGCAGCTCCATAGGAAAGTCACAAAAGATTGCCTTACACCCATGAGTGTAAGGTGATGGCATTGTATTGGCAGGGCAGAGATTCAGGGCATGACCTATCACATGTGTATGGAGGTCGTCCAATTGAATTGTGTGCAATTTATGTTTTTTTTTTTTTTTACATAGAATGTACAAGTAGGTTAGAAGAGTATAACATCCTATTGTTGATAACATTAAAAAAAAAAAAAAAGACAGTAGCTGTGTTTGAGACATCTGTCCCTCTTGTCCTGTCCCTTTCGTTGACCTCCGGGTATTTACATGACAGTGTTTGCTACATTTGGCTTTTAGAGCAGCTAGAATTTTTTTTAATGTTTTCATGAAGTTGATTAGAAAGGACCTTTTCCAAGTAATATGTATGGTACCTTTCAGTTTTGTGTGTACATATAAATGGAAATGACTACCATACCTTTTTCTTTTTTATTTAACAGCATGGTCTCTAGAAAATAGAAAACTATACTCTGCTTCAACTATTTTGTGCTACGTTGTCAAGGCTAGTAGCCTGCGCAGTGCTCCAATGCTGTCAGAGCTACTTGTGTAGGGGCGTGCGAATGAGACGCAAGACAAAGCCACGTGCTCTCACACCAGTGCAGGGCTGCAGCACTGTGGAAGCAATACCGGCCTTGACAATGTAGCACCAAAAATTTGACGCCGGTATAGGAGCTGTCTGGGAAGTGTGTTCGAAGTCTTAAAAATTTTCATTAGGTTGCTAGCCTTCCTTGTGTACTCATATCAAGTTGTTTGCCATCAAAAAGTTGTATGCTCTTGTTAGGCACCTCGGATTAAGCAGTATTGTTATTAAAAAAGTTTGTGAGAAAGCACTGCATGTCCTTTATATTTGCTGTCTTGGATGCCCTTTGAGACATGTCAGAGGATGTCCTCCAAGACATCTGGATGTCGTTTGAGACATCTGTCTCGGAGGAAATCTAATAGCCAACGCTCATACAGACATTTAATCATGATTAGAGTGATTTGTTCTACCTTTCATACAATTTTTCTATGAATATAAACGGATTGGTTTACAGACATGTCCTCTCACAATGCAGGAACAACATGGGCCATCGACTCTTTTCATGGGCAGTTCACATGTGCCTGCTCAGCACTGCTCTATTCTCAGAAGGTATGCTTCTTCATACTTTTCAAAACTATCACAGCACATTTCTTTCTAGGGGGTTACTATCAAACCATACATTTCCGTCAAAAAAGTTCTTTGCTACTATTGAGAAGTGCAATCGAGAACATATTTTTCTGGAATAATTATACATTAAATAATAGCAAAAATACTGTACAAATGTTGTTTATGTGCCTGGTTCACCTCTGGATGCTCCTAGCATGCATTTGCTTTCTCTTAATTGTGCAAGAAAATGAACTAGAAATTAAATATTACATAGCTATAACATCTACTGAAGTTCTGAAATTGAATGCATATAATAAGCTTGAGCGTAACAAGCTTTGTGGGAGGACGACCAAGTATACAGAATATTGCACCAAATGCCCGCTAAACTTTCTGAAAAAAGTATGCATCGTGCAGAAGGAAGATTGATGCTGTACTAGTCACTGTTAAGGGACCTATATAGTGTGGTACTATCGAGCATGATTGAAATGCACCGTGGAGCGTGTGGCCTTGGATACATGCTTCCCTACCTGGAGGCCCCTAGGAACTGATAAAACTGCAGAATAGAGGGGGGAGGGGGGGGGGGGGGGGCTGAATAGTGTGTGACCTACATAGCCTGCATTTCACAGAACATCACATTCTTGATGATTAAGTTTTGAACTAGTTTTGTGAAATTAAATGAGTAATTATTAAAAGTAAAGCATACTAGTTTGGCATTATTAAAAACAGCGCAAAAGGACGGGACAGAAGTAGAAGGAGCACACAGGACGGACACTGACTGACAACTAGTTAAAATCACAAACTTTCTGGGTGCCATCGGAAACCACTAAATCGGCCAACTCTAGAAAAGGGATGCCCCAAGCAAGGTCACAAACGCATTGCTTTCATCTTGGTTTCTGCGTCTTCTGCCCTGCGCTCACTGGCCGAAGTGGTGACTAATGCCCGCTGTTTCGCCTAGCTTGTGGAGAGGGTAGCAGTGTGTGAAAGGCACAGTGCAAGGTGTGTATGTGAGGACACGCACCTACACGCTGCAACACGATCGACCCGACAAAGACCTATTGGCACGCGCCTCAATAGCTTCAGGAGACAGCGTCTCCGCCATCCAGGCGACACCGCTGGAAAAAAACTAAAAAATTGAGCAGTCCTTTGGTAACCCACAGTACAGTCACAGCGAAAGTTGTGTCACGTCACAGGGAAGTTGTTGGGCATCAGCGTCTCGTTCACGCACAGTGGGGCAGTGGGTTGCATGAACGAAAACACTCGGAACAAATAGGCGCCTGTTTTGTTCCCAACGATTTTGTTTCTTTCTTGTTTTGGAGCACGTGAAAGAGCATCTAGCGGCACAAACGCTTGGCATTGACAGGGCTACGACGGCATTTCGTTTGGCTATTTTGTTTTCCAGAGAGCGTGTGCAGTGGGCGTTGGATACTGCAACGACTCTAAGCTTAGAGCGGGCTATTAACGCTGTGGCGTAGCTCAGTGGTAACGCCTTCGCTTCACACGCGGCGGATCCAGGTTTGATCCCTGCGGGCAACAGGCAATATTTTTTTCAAGGATTAGGCAACATGGGTGCCGGACGCCCTGCCCTACATCGCTAGCAACAAAATCAACTCCCACATTTACAACTGCTACATCAACAACGGACGTCATTTCCAGTGGTGGAAAGAGCCCCTAACAGCTGTCGCTGTAAAGCTCTGTCTTATTCCCATGGCACCCGGGCAAGCACTTGCTTTTGTTAATGAAAGGTGCTCAAGGTAAGACCAATAATGCGTTGAAGTTTCATTCCCAGCCCAAGCTCCTTTCGGAAAATATCTTGGAGCGTATTTCGCTTGTTTTTCATATGCTAATAAATCACGTAAATGTTCATTCGATGCCATATTTTTATCGCCTTTGGACACAAACTGTGATTATCGACAATATTTCTGCCCCTGCTGAACAGGGTAAGGCAGGGTATGAGCATGACTTTGGTGCCCGGTTGGTCACTCACGCAGAACATAATCCCGATTAATGTTTTGCTTGCGTAGCCATATCCAGGTGTATGCGAGTATGGAACGGTGGCTGATGCTCGCTTAGGCCGACAAAACCTTGACCACCAAGTGCAGACTATTTTGTGAGTGTATACACCGTTCCAAGCTGGGCTTCCTAGCCGGCGCCATTTTAACGAGTGTAGCGCCGCCTATCCTCATCCGGGCATTTGGGAGAATCTGAACCTGCCTGAATGACCGACCGCCATTACTGGACTGTTACCCTGCTCACCCGAGTTACACCGAACGCAGCTGCTTCTGCCGGCACGGCTGTTGTATTCGGCGTCCTCGGCTCATCGTCTTCGTCCATGGAGGAAAGCACTATCCTAACTTGTATGTCAGGCATGGAGAAAAGTGCATCCCGCTTTCCTGGTATCTTTTTGTGGGTAATTTTTAGCGCGGTTCTGGGGCAGTTGTCGCTCCCAACTTGAACTCGGCGTTTCGATCGCTAGCGAAATTGGGGAGCGCTAGTGAAATTGACGATCGCTAGTGAAATTGAGGATTGAACGAAGCCAGGATGGCACGAGTTACGGCATGTGAATTTGCGCTAAACTCGAGTTGTCGCAGCTTGGGGGCGCCGGGAACATTTGAACTAACTGCGCGGTTAGTGGCTCAGACCTGCGTTGCCACGTCTGCTTTGATTGAAATAGTAGAAACCTCAAATTTAAATATAAATCAATATATAAATACCGAGTACAGATAGCAAGTGCGACGGATCCGTTTTTTTTTTCTGATTTGGAATCCACTGTCAAAATATTGGCAGATTGATGTGCCTCTCTGTAATCGCCTCGTGCGAGAATTATTTGTGCGCAAACTGTGTCGTGGCGTGTACTATTAAATCAGTAGACCAGGAGTGACGCAACTGTTTTCTTTTTTCAATGTCTAAGCCACCCTCCGCTAACCTTTCGGTCGTAGCCCAGGCGAAGGAACGGCACAAGTTCTCCGCAGTTCGCCGGCCGTAAGAAATGGTCGTAGCACACACGACTGCCCTTCGATGGCAAGGAGTCTTTCCTGTTTAAATTCGCCAGCCACCAGCTTCGCAGGTCTGGAGCAGCAGGGAACTGGTGCAGCAGAAACATGCCGCACCCACATTCATCCTGTTTGACAGCGTGGGTCTCGCACACTGGATCGGCATTTATTTTACTTTTTTTTTTTTTTTGTTATTATTTTTGCAAACAATTACAGCACAGTGCTGCCCGGTCGATTCTTCTCTTGCATAGGCCATGTCACGCGCGAAAACACGCTACAATATCAAAGCGGTGCCTAACATTGTCGGAGCAACTTGCCTCCGTACACTGCGCACGTGCTTTCTAACAGTCCGCTCCGTGAAGCAGACGAGCTTTTGAGGGAAAGGGTATGCGGAGCGTTGACGCAGCGCTCTGGTTTGAGAGTTTTTCTCTTTCTGCATCGACCTACTTGGAACGGTGTATACGAATACATTTTATAGGAAGTTCATAAAGAAGTGCAGAACAAACGTATGGCTGTATAAAAGTATTGTAACCGGCGACGTAGATTCACCGAGCTTCGTATTTTGCTTGATTTGCGACGTTTTTGTCGGTTTCTACGACAGTAGCAGCCTTTGCACTGCCGTGCAAAGGTCGCGATTGCTTTGTACTGTTTCGAACAACAGCGCCTACTGTAATTCGCTTTTTCTCTAACGACCTTGTCTAGGATGAACTAAAATGGCCTTGTCTAGACTTTTTCGATACCGGCATCAAGCAAAAGCAATCGTGCTTAGCGTCCTTTGCTTACATTGTATTGGGAGACTGTATGCAGTGATGGAAGTGCTGCGCCAATTGCGCCAAATTGTGCCAAGGACGCAGTCCTGCTACATGTAGCACCAAATTGTCATTTTACTGAAGAATTGCGCCATGCCTGCGCCGAGATGAGGTGTAGCAATAAAAAAATAAAAATTGAAGTCTTATCAGAGCGCGTGGCGGTACCGCGGTTATTTTCCGCTCCGCAACTGTTACGCAAACCGAAACTGTGAGGGCGCATTATCATCATCATCATTGAAAGGAACAACGTTAGCAACATTTGAGACCAAAGCCGCAGAGGCTAAGCGAAGAACCATCCCACTGAGCAGCCTATTTAAAAAAAAAGGCCGAGCTTGTGGATGTTTTCAATGTTGGCCCGCCCTATTCCCGTGCGCTAGCTACCAGCAAAGTCAAAGCTAGCGCGAGCCCAATGCTCTGTGCATCCCTGACTCGCGCGTGGGCTCGTGCAGTGTGGGCACCGTTACGGGCTCCATGCGCGCGCTTGTAGCTTTGGCTGCGCTCGCACCGAAGCTGGAACGAAGTGTAGTTGATTTGCACCAAACTGTGGATGTAGTGCCGGTAAAGCCTCACCATCCTTTTCTGAGCACAAAGCACTGCACAACTGCGGTGTCTGCTCCGCGGGTGTCGCTTCTCTGCAGCGCGTCGGTGCATGCCAAGGAGCGCACTCAACGGGTTAACTCGCCGTGATCCGATCGTGACTTCGCCAGCACATCGAAAATGAATCAGAATTTTTTAAGCGAATATCAGATACCACAATATTTGAGGCTGCTGCCCGAAATACAACTCTAATCTGAGCTAAAACATTCCACAACAGTGAGGGTTGTTAGATGCTGCTGCAGATACCTTAAAAGAAATGCAGGCTGATAAAACTAAATATCCTGTACCATCAGAACTCAGTGTGACATATTTAATTGTATTTTTTTTATCCGACGAGCAGATAAACTTTATTTAAAAAAAATGTTTTTTTTTGTGTTTACTAAAGGCGACAGGCACTGTGTTCCAATAATAGAGATGGGCTTTATATAGCAATGCAGCATTATTTCATTTTCAAGTAATATGCCAACATATGCCAGACCCTGCTCCAAAAGGGCCACTACCTGCTCCAAAACAACATTTTGCCTGCTACAAGGCCTGCTCCAAAAGGTCAAATGGCATTTCCATCACTGTGTATGCCACAAGGGAGGAATTGGAAACTTGTGTAGGAGCAGTTGAAGAACCACACTTTTTTTTGCCGTTCGGTAGGCACTTTGAGAACTCCAACTCGAGTTACCGTGTTCGGAGTATGGTGGCTGAAGTGCATCTCCGACTGGTGTGTTTGGCTCCCTATGCCGCCCATACATCAAAATTGGTCCCAAAGTGGCAACAAATGATGTCAAGGAAGCCAAAGTATCATGCTGCTGCATGTCACGATCCTGGCGGTTGGCTGTAGAAATGCTGGCAAAAAGCTTACTGAGCATGTCCGTATGCAGCAGAACTTCTGAAATTATGAGCTTGCATTTAGAGTGCTGTAGGTCCAAACAGTGAGTTTACCGATTCCCATAAGCTTGTACAAAAATAGTGGGCATCCTAGTAGTTTGAGCGTGCTGACCACTTTTATAAACAGACAACTGTTTATAAAAGGCGTACAAGTGATATCTTGCTCGTCCGAAGAGGGTTAATAAGCTGAGCTAATAGGCAATTGCAGAGCATTTCATTATTGTTAGCTGGCATTGAATTCCTTTTGTTCCTTCTCTTTGGCAAAAGGAAAAACAGTTGTGCTCAGTGTTTTTGTCAGTGTTTTTAGTGCTTCTATTGCTCCAGCTACCTCAGTGTCATTTCTTGTACCAAAGTAAGCACATCTTGACGGTTTTCAACATAAAAAGCACACTGGTTAGTCAACAACGTGCTAAAAAAAAGTGTCGTGCATTGAGCAACAAATTTCACATTGTTGCTCCAGAATTTGGTTGAAGAAGAGTGTTTCATTAACGAGCACCAAACAGGGTTTGAGCTCATATAACAGACTGACTCTGACTGTGTTTTAAAGTTTCCTTAATATTTTAGGTGTAAGCGATGTGTACTTTAGCGTTTGAAAACCTAAATGTGCCCAACATCACTCTGTTTTGTGATGTGATATGACTACTAGGTCATAGACTTTCCGGAAAAATTCAAATAAACGTCCACCTGTGCCAAAAATGTAAAATCTCTCAAAACCAAGAGAACACCAATTTTTGTAGATTTTTGTTTTAGACAAGGGCTATTCTTGTCGACACCCTCCCTTCTTAGACGGTTTGGGTGCCTAGTCTTCACCTAAAATCTAACATCCTGTCAAGGAATCATTGACTTTCTCTTGCTAACGATGCAAGAGCAGCTTCCCTTTCCTGTTGCAGAAACATTTTACTTAAGAACAGCTAGAGTTTTGTCATGACAAGAAGCAGAATGATAGCGAAAAAAAACAACAAAAAAACTCGGATAGTTACATTAAAGAGTACTGGGACTTTGACTCTACCCCTGTTCAAACTTGTTGTCGGTTGTTTGCAAGCACTGTTGCATTATTAGTGTCGAGCTCTATAAAGGTGTATACAAATTGTAAATTAAATTCTAACTCTTTGTCTTTTCCCAACTTGCTTCTATTCACTGATAATCACCGTTCTTAACCTCCGTGCAAAACAATTCGCAACAATACGGTGATTTCTGAAAAATTGGTAATCACCGAAAAACATCCCTAGATTTTTTGTTTTATTACGAATGAATGCCGGAACTTTTTCGGCATAAACATGACTTGTGGGGGCATCTCTGGTCGAGTCAAATGCGATTTAGAACAGAGCCTCTGTGAACGCACCCGCGAGTAGTGACGAGATTCATTGCGGTGCGTCTCTGGCGTGCAGACCAGGAGCTGAAGTTCCTGGATGAGCCGAGCTCGGTGTTTGTGGACGCGGAGAGCGATGGGCTGGCCTCGTTCCGCTGCTCGGCGTCGCCCAAGGCGGCCGAGACCATGTGGCTGCACGGGGGTCAGCTGCTGCTCGAGGGCTCCCCCGGGGTGCTCAAGCTATCCCGGCACCGGCTGCAGGTGCGGGTGGCCGCCAACGCCTCGTCGGGCCCCCACCAGCCCTCGCACTCGTACCAGTGCGCCGCCCAGGTCAGGGAGCTACTCATGCTGAGCAACCCGGCCACCGCCATCGTCGCAGGTGGGCCAACCCGGGTTCGGCCGCTTCGGGCTGCCCTTCTTGGTGCTGGAGCCACCGAGCATTCTGGGGCGGGTTTTCTAGTTAACGTGGGTGTCTCTTCCGGACATTTTTTATGGTTTAGACACAATCTTAAGCTGAGCTCCAGTTTTTGATGTACTTTTTTCTAAACAGCAAAAAGTAGAATGCACATATAATTTGGCACATATCTTCTACATGTTACTGGCTTTAAACTGAACCTAAGAAAAAATAACTTTGAACATGCAGCATGCAAGAAAAATATACTGTTCTTTCTAGTCATGAACCATTACAGGGGAACTTTTACATTTTAATTTTTTTTTTGCATTATAATGTAGTGAATTCTTAAAACATCTAGGTTCAAACTGTTGGCAAGGTATTTTACTATAAGCTGTAAAAGTTTTAGTGTAATCGGATAAGTAGTTTCTAGTAAAGGTACATCAAATTTCTGAAAATTGCAAAAATGTCATTTTGAGAAAAAAAAAGATTTTTTGTCTCCCCACAATGGTAAATGGCCAGGGAGCTCGGGATTTTTGGTGCCATATTTAAGTGGCTTGGAACGCTCGTTCGATCTTGCCGCTTGCTGGTTTTGTTCCTCAGACTATGTATGATTTTTTAACATTAAAACTGCAAAATCGATTTTTTAGTTGGTTTACCCTACCATTCCTTCTTAAGCTATTTATTCATGGATATCCGAAACACAGAAAAAGCTAACAAGGAAGTTGACTAAGAGAATGCCAAGTCACCTGCCCCATCACTTCTGCTTCTGTAGTCTTAGGAGTGGCCCAGCTGTCATTTTTTGCCACTGTTACCTCTGCATTTAAGTTTTTTTGGGATATTTACACTGAACTATCTGCAGCTGTCTTTTCCGACCCATTGCCTCGCCTGTGCTTTCAGCATTGACTCCCTTTGCACCGCAAGAGGATATCCACGTCTCCGTCACTGCGGGTAACACTGCCGTGGTCCCCTGCAAGCTGCCTCATAGCATCCCACCCGCAGTGTCGGAATTTATCTTCACCAACTCATCTGTAAATAAGACAACCGGTGAGTCTATTCTTCTGCCTGTGCTTCTACCGCTTATCCTGGACTGTTGGATTGATACGTTTACATTCTAACCTTCAGGCCGCTATCACATCATGCCCTCTGGAAACCTCCAAATTCATTCGAGCACGATCTGGGACTCTGGTGTTTACGTGTGCACCGCCCACAACCCGCTCATCAGGAAGAGGGTTACCGCATCTCACAAGGTGTTCCTCACTGTTCATGGTGCGTATCTTTCTGGCACTTCAGTTATTTGAGCATTGGTGTTGGTAGCACTAGTGCCACTAAATAAGTTACGCTTCAGAGTAACGACACTTGGCCATATTGTGGCTTAAAATCATGGCTGCCAGTTATCTGGAGCTCTTTCTGAAATCACAGGAAACGCTTTTCTGTCCTTCACAAATGTTTAAACAGTGCGCGACAGAGCAAATCAGTATTACAAGAGCTTCCGAACACCCAATATAATGCTGAGGAAGTCGCACTTCTGAATCAAGACGATCGGCAGTTGCGTTTGCTCTGCACAAGCCCCAAAATGGCGGTGCCCACAGCAATGTCGGGGAACGGAGTGCCGATAATCTAAGCGCAGCTCATTTAGTGGCTCTAGGTAGCACCAGTTCCCTTCAGCAGCTGCAAATCTATGCAAAGTTCAAAATGTTTGAAGAGTAATCAACGCGCAAGAGTCTTTTCAGCGGAAGGCAGTCTCACTCTAGTGGAAATGTTATAGCAAAACTCCTGAACTACTTTTTTTTATACTTTCAAAAGATAAAAAAAAATGGTCGTGAAAAAATTAATTGTTGGAAACAAACTGCCACGCCGGACGTCAGGAATTGCAAAAAGCATACTGATTAGCTCAATAATGAACTAAAATGTACTAAATAACTTTAGAATTAGTCAGAATAAACACATGCTAACAATTAGAAACTTGCTAAGCCTCATCGAAACTCGTTTTAGAAAAATAAAAGGCTTGTAGAGCATTTTGCGGCATTCCGAAAAAGCGCCTAATTTGGGAGCGTTGCAGTTTTTTATTGGACCGCATCTTTGCGCAGGCAGCCTTGTTTTCACGTGGCTGAAGCACGCAGCTACCGCCTCACCTTCCTTGTATGATGGAGGAGGTGTGGCACACCTGCGTTGCTTACTTCAGCCACTGGGGGGGTCAGGACCACTGGTGTAGAGATGTGCTCTGGTTGGAAACCGAAACCTAGAAGTGCATCCAAATAGAAAGTTTTTTTCGGAATTTCGTAAAATGCTCTACAAGCCTTGTATCTTTCTAAAGTGGTTTTTGATGATGCTCAGTAAGTTTCTATTTAAAACCATATGTTTTTTTTTTTTCACTAATTAAAAGTTAAATGGTAAGTTTTAATCATTTATCTAATTAGTGTGGTCTTTTTTCTGCGATACCTGACATCGCCATGGCTTGCAGTTTGTTCTGGTAAGCAGTTTTTTTTTTTTTTTAAGTACCCTATTTTAGGGATTTTTGAAAGCTTCGCTCAAAGCAGGCTCACACCACAGAGTAAAAAATGAAACATGGGGAGAGGGAGCGAGGCAGGAAAGAAATTTCTCCTATTATTCAGTTCAATGTAAAAATATGCTTATTGATGGAGTTATACTAGTCCCTTTTTTTTTTCCATTTTTAAACAGTGCGGTACAAATGTTGCCAACCGAAGCATGCCAAGTTTATTAGTATTGTAAAAAGTCTCCCTACCGACATCTTTGCAAACAACATATACTGGCAGATGTACCCACAGATAGAGCTCACTATTGTACTTTGTGGGTGGTAACATTTGATATTATGTTTTATAAAAGTATGTCGGTAACATGTAAACAGTCTCGGTTTTCTTCCACTTGCTTAGTAATACTGATATTGCACTACGCATGTTTCTACAAAAATATGAGGCTTCATTCAGACAAAGTGTCAGAATGGCGTAAATAAACCTTTAGTAAGGTAAATTGGTTACCATATTTATATGCAAAGAGATTCACGTTACTACATTAAAAAACGGGCTCATTGTTGCTTGAAACGTTCATTGTGCTATGCTCTGGCATCATGAAGTCTTCTTCTCTTTGTGCACTGCTGCATGCAGGTTTGGTATGTAATGCCTTTTTGTATCCATTTTTCTTTATTTTTATTTCATGGTCTTTAGTTGCCGCATAGTTTTGGCACAGTAGGTATCCATGCGAACCCTTTTGTTGGTTGTCCCCCACCAGAACCGGCAGCGGAGGAGCCTCCCACGTTCACCTCGGTGCCGCCGCAGCTGGTGAATGCGGTGACCGGGAGCAATGTGACCGTGGAGTGTGCAGCCAACGGCAACCCTCCTCCCAACATCACCTGGAGCAAGGAGGGTGGCCACCTCCCCAGGACTCGGCACAGGGTGGTGCTCGGTGAGTGGGACAGGGGGACGGCCTCTTCTGCCGCCATTGATAAATATAAACCAGTTTTCAGGTTTTGGTCATCCCGCCCCGAAAAACCTCTTATGTAACGAATAAAGGTCCCCACAAGCCTGTGTTTTACAAATAGGCCTTCTGCAAAGCGTGCAGCGCCGTCCGCGTCACCAAAAAGGGTTCCGGGAACACTATGCCTTGTTGCAGGTTAAGAAAAACAGGACAGGTACCTTTCGCAAAGCCCTTCTCTGTTTTGATTTTAGCAGAGCTACTGCTGGAATGGAGGCGAGTAGACTCGTTTACTCTTCAGTGTTCGCTCTGCTCAAGGGGTAACCAGTTCTAGCAGACGACAGAGGCGGCCGAATTGGGGCAGGCAAGCAACTCCGGTACCCTCTCGCTCTCTTCAGTGTCATGTGGTAGATGTTGCGGTGGCAAGGAGGGGCAAGCAGTACTTCGTGCATGGCTGTTTGGGGTTTTTGCAAAAGGCCTATCGAGGTTGTAGCCACTGTGCACCAGTGTTAAATAGTTGTCACTCGAGAGGTGGAATGATTCCGGAATCATTTTACACTTTCGTGACCCCAGAATGGAATTTGATTCTTTTTGCCTGGAATGAAGTGGGAATAAAATGGGCTTTGTTCTTACGCAAGCTTTTGCAATCAACCTGCTGGCACAACACCAGTGCCTGGTCAAATTTATTCTTGAAACAGCATCATTGCACTGAGGGTAACTGACGGCTTGATTGTCTCACCGGCTCATGCTTCTTCGAGGATGAATGTGGCGGGCTTCCCTTGAAGCAACCAAAAATAAAAAGTTGTGGACAAGCAAGATGTCGTTCCTGGCGCCACAAGATGCGACAAATGGCTGCTATGACTGTGGGCGACTAGCGTGTAGCTTTTAATTCAGCAAATATTCTAGTGTTCCCATGGTAATTTCATTTCATTTCATTTCATTTCATTTCATTTATTGTTCCCTTAAAGTGCCCGGAGGCATTACATGAGGGGGGGAGAGACAAAAGAAAAAGTTCGCTGCAAAAACAAGAAAACACTAACATTGAAAACGGCACGCGACAGATCGCGCACACATACACAGCATACTATATACACAACAGCTACACACCAGAGAGCGTATAAAATTAAACTGACTTAAATAATTCTTCACATACACTCCTAAACTGTGCACAGTCTGAGATATCAACCACACTTTCAGGGAGGTCATTCCATTCATGAATAGCCAAGATCAAGGGCGACTCTGAAAAATGCTTAGTGCGACATAAGGGTAGCCTAATTTTATGACGGTGATCATGCCGAGGAAAAATCCTATGGGGCGGTAGTAAAAGTTGACTTTTAAGGTCAGCGTTGTAATAATACACGCATTGAAGAAAAGCCAGTCGTGATACTTTCCGTCTATTACATAAAGGAACAAGGTCAGCTCTTGTTTTATGTGCCGTCACACTCGACGTAAAGGAATAATCTCTAAGAATAAAACGTACGGCTTTGTTCTGAACAGACTCTATTTTTTTAATTAAATAATCTTGCCATGGGCTCCAAATAATGCTCGCATATTCTAGTTTTGAAAGAATAAAAGATTTGTAAGCTAACAATCGAACGTCACTTGGTGCTAAAAACAAGTTCCTCCTAAGATACCCTAGAGATCGATTCGCTTTGCTCACAATATGATCAATATGCATTTTCCAGTCGAGATTATCCGTTTGAAATACTCCGAGGTATTTGTAACGAGTTACATTTTTAAGAATTGCACCATTAACTTTATAATCAAAGGCAGACTTAGACTTAATTGTAGCAAAAGTAAGAAGCTTGGTCTTTGTAATATTGATATCCATTTGCCATTTAACGCACCATAACCATAGCGAATCAAGGTCACACTGGAGGGTGAAGCTATCTTCGTTCGAGATAATGCGCCTGTATATTACGCAGTCGTCAGCGTATAGCTGAATTTTTGAACAAATTAAGTTAGGTAGATCATTAATGGAAATTAAAAAGAGAAGAGGGCCGAGGACGGAGCCTTGCGGGACACCGGATTTTATTGAGATACTTCGAGATGAATCGTTATGGATCGAGACTGATTGAGTTCTTTCAGAAAGGAATTCTTTGATCCAGTCTACAAGAGACTGACGCATATTAAGTGACTTAAGTTTACTTATCAAACGCTGGTGCGGGACCCAATCAAACGCTTTCGAAAAATTGATAAAGATAGCGTCAGTTTGCGTTTGTGAATGAATGTTGTCATGGATATCAGTGATAAATTCAAATAACTGAGTTTCACACGACTTCTCTTTACGGAAGCCGTGTTGGTTAGGAAAAAAGAAATTAATTTCTGTAAGGTAATTCACAATATGGCTGTAGATCACATGTTCCAGAAGTTTACAGGGTATGCTAGTTAGGGAAATGGGACGGTAGTTGTTGGCGGACGTAGCATCACCGGATTTAAAAATAGGGGTAACTTTTGCATGTTTCCAGTCCTTAGGTTAGTATCCTTGGTCCAGACTTTGTTGAAATAAAAGTTGCAGAAGAATACTCGAGACCTGCAGCGCGAGTTTGAGCAGTTTAGACGTAATTCTGTCACTACCCGGGCTTGTTGAATTGGAAAGGTTGAGGATAAGCTGCCTTATCCCATCAGAATCAACAAAGATGCGATCAAGGAAAGAATTATTATAAATGTTATCACAGGCAGGTAAAGGAAATGACTCATCAGTGAAAGCCCCTCCAAAGAATTGATTAAAAGTAATCGCACTTTTTAAATCGGACAACGTATCCCCGTGGATGTCAGAAAGACCGCTCGGGGCATTTTGACTTTTCGGAGGGCTAATGATTTTCCAAAATTTTTTGGGATTTGAACTTCGTAGTTGTTTAAGAGTGCCACCAAAGAATCGTTGTTTGGCATCTTCAATTGCCTGCTTACAGTTTAGAATGGTTTAAATATTTGTCCCAAGAGGTCGTACTATTATGCTTCTTTGCACCTAAAAAAAGTTGTTTTTTGGTGTTAAGGAGGCCTTTTAGATACCTCTAGAACCATGGCTTTTGTGTATTGGATGGTATTTTGATTTTAGGCACAAATAGATGCATAAGTTCTAAAAGCCTGTCCTTGATTAGAGTCCAGTTATCTTCAACTGATCTGAGACTAAAAGAACCCTGAAATTCGATAAGGAATGACTCGAGTGCCGAAGTAATCTCCGGTAGGTTTGCCCTAGCATAATCAAAGATGACTTTATGTTCGCAACACTTTTTGTGAACAGCAATGTTAGCGTCGATCACCACCATTTGGTGGTCACTGATAGCGTCAATAGCATTTACAGATAGAATTAACTCCGGAATAGACGTTAAGAATAAATCAAGAATCGCATTGTTTCGCATAGGCACCAACACAACCTGGTCAAGAGAACAAGATTTACAAATATCAATGAAGTCCCTACACTGCGAAGAACTTCTGCAACTATTCTCAGGCACACAATCAATCCAGTCAATCCCGAGATAATTGAAATCCCCACCAAGAAATACAGGACACTGCGGGTAACGTAGTGTAACAAAATTCAAAATTTTATACATTTCCTGGAGAAACACAGCTTGCGAGTCTGGAGGCCTATAACAAACTCCAACTAAGATATGAGAAAATGCACATTTAACTTTGACAAAGCATACCTCAATATCGGCATCTAGCTCCACAACTACCGAGGAGAAACACTTTTGGATTGCAACACGAACACCACCTCCCCTAGACCATGAACAATCTTTTCTATGAATGGTAAAATCACTGTGAATTAAAAGTTCTTCATTAGGTATACTACTAGACAGCCATGTTTCGCTTCCCAAAATGACGGGGGGGGCGGCATACTTCAATAGTGCTACTCAACTCATCTTGTTTTGACAACAAGCTTCTAAAATTAGCAACAAGGAAAGTTAACTGATTGACCTCACTTTCTGTGGTAGACCGTCATTCTCGTTCTTGAGAGATTGGAAGCTCAGGGTTGGAGGGAGCGTTTTGCAATTCAACCACCTGGTTCAAAGTGGAGTCGTAAACAAACGCTTTGTCGTCGATGAACAGTTTGTCGAAACCAAATCGAACTTTTTTCTGCGCATCACGATGCGGTTTTCCAAATTCTCTGAGTTTCCTACGAGCCTCCTGAATATGTGGCGAGAAATCTTCGTCAATTCATACTTTTAAGGATGGAACATTCCTTAAGGCCGGGGCCTTACTAAGCACTTCTTGTTTTTTCTTAAAACTTTGGAACTTAACAACAATCATACGGTGAAACCTGTTACGTTTCCTACCTATACGATGTGCCCTTTCAATTTCACCCGGGTCAACGTTTAGGTAAGTTTTAACAAAGTCTATCACTATCTGTTCAGTACGATTCCAAGTCTCACCGTGTTCCTCCGGAATTCCTTTGAAGATAAGATTATTTCGTCGAGAGTGATTATCCAGAGCATCTACGTGCCGCGCTACCGCGTCAACATTACTACAGGTTAGAGATAATTTCCGTAAATTGCTTTCCAGTGAGCTTATATCGTGTTTCATTAAAATCACGTCCTCCTGGCAGCTCGATTGAGCGTCCACTTTTTTTTCAAGTTCCGTCACCCTTCCTCTTAGGCTCGAAATGCCGGCCTGAATAGCATATAATTTGTCCGTATTTTCTTTCTGATAGCTTTCGGTATTCTGCAGAAGCCTGTCTAGAGTGGTCTGGAGCCTTTCGAGCTGCGTGGAATCGGTTTTAGGTCCAGGGGTGCTATGTTGCGCTTTTTGCACTCCCAGGAGACTAGGAAGAGGGAAGTGACGTCAACGACACAGCAAATGCAGATTGGATGTTGACAGAAGAAAACAAAATCAACTCCCAATCTGCGTTTGCTGTGTCGTTGACGTCACTTCCCTCTCCCTAGTCTCCTGGGAGTGCAAAAAGCGCAACATAGCCCCCCAGGATTAGTCTCGACATCACCCGCAAGAATCAGTAGAGCGCAAACGCACACTGAGACGAATACCAGGCGGAA